CAATGAAATATTTTGTACATAAATTCATAACTTTTCTCTATTTTTTTTATCGCATATTCTCAAAAAAAAAAAGAATTATTATTTAAAATTTCATTTTATCAAAATAATGATTGTCAATCAAAGGCTCGAATTGCTAAAATAATCAAGTCTCGTTAAATTGATTACGAATCTAATCGTATACCCGCTAAATTCAAATTTTTGTCAGGTCTGAAATTCACTAAAATGTTTTTGACGTTTGTGCGAAGGTAGATGTACTTCTTGTTTGGCTCAAGTATCAGCATTTTTGGGTCAAATCGTGTAATTATTTTGTATTTACATACTCGAAATTCATTCTCATCTACAATATTAAGTCTCTCTTTGATGGAGATAAAAATCAGATTAAGATATTAAATTAAAGCAATCAATTTTAATGACTCATTTATTGGGATTTAAACTTTTCAACCATATATTTCATCGTTTTTTTTTTTTTTCAAAAACTACTAAAAATCTGATTTTATTTTACTAATATATATATATATATATATATATATATATATATATATATATATTGAGAGAGAGAGAGAGTAAAAAATACTCAAAATTTTCAATTTCCAACCTAAAAATTCTTAAATAACATTACACATAGAACTAGTACGGTTTGATTTTCGTTGGTAGTTGAAGTGCACAAATTCCCTAGCACAAGTAGGGCTGTAAATGGATCAGATATGAATTGAATCTATCCAAATCCTATCCTATCCGTTAAGAGCAATTATTCGATCTGATTGGATAATCCAACGTATATTTAATTGTTAACTTCATATCTGATTTACTATGTTATCGGTTCTCTGATCCGATAACCTGATCCGAAATTGAAAAAAATTAGGAAGATAAAAATTTTATATTAATCAACTTCTAACCCTAGAATTAAAATACACAGATAGCTTTTTACCCCGGGCATAGCCTAGTGATATAAAGGATAGGAGTGATGTTATCTCACGCCTTACTGACAGTCATAGTGTGGGTGTTTGATTCCTGAAATATAGAATTGAACTCTTTGTAGGCGCAGTGTACAGACAGCTTTTGTTCCCTGGCCTATTAGGGCACATCTCTCGATTTACCTCTCTCACAAAACTCTAGAGGCAGGGTAGTGGGAGCCCTCAATGTTGGAGTTCAACCTTTTTTTTTTTTTTAAATTATTCAAAAATTGAAAAGTTAAATAGAAGAGTCACAATCGAATAAAATACATGTCACAAATAATTATATAAAGATAAATAGAAATACATGCAAAGCGTGAAAATTGCATTCCGCCGACTCAAGAACTTCGTTTGGCCAATTTGAGGTCACATGAATTAAATGGATGACACGCTTGGTTACAAAAAGTTCACCAATAATACGTTCTTTGGAAGACAGCTATGACATTGAAATGACTCTTAATACTTAGGTAACAAAATTGTTTCATGGAAGTCATTAGTAAAGAGGTTTTAGGACAATTCAGGGTCACAAGAATAATGAGTTAATGTTACTTGCATAACGTTTATGAACATATATTTTTTAGATAGAAGTCACACCTAGTTACACAAGATGCAAGCATATCGGAGTCATGCCAATCCATTAACGAAGTTCACGATCAATATTTCTTACTTTAGGCAAAGGATAGAGTTACAATTTAGGTTTCATCTCCATTTTTCATGTTTTTCTTTCTAACATGATTTATAATCTTTATGAAGATGTTTCAGAGTCTAAATTAGAGGGAATATGGTTGCTAGGTGTTCTTCATTTCTTCTCATCGACTGCTCTTATTCTTATCACAACAAGTCTTTAGATAAAATATATAGTCAAGCAAATAACTAAGCAGTAAAATTCCGGGCTCGGCTGCAAGTCGCTCGCGAGACTTTAATTGAAACACTTCTAATCCTCAAACTATAATGAAAACGTAAATTTATAAGGAGATAGTGAATATCAAAAATTCAAGTTTGTCAAAAGAATTATAAGTTGTAAAAATTTTCTTCTTTTATACGGGCTTGGGATCGACACATTATGTAGAACGAGTTAAAATTGCACAAGAATGAATATTTTAATTAATAACGAGATCATGCGTTCTCTAAAATTGGATTTATAAGTCAAAAAATAAATGAAGGGAGCTAATTATTCATTTTACAAAGCTGAGGATTTCCAATTGTAATTACTTTCATTGTTTTATTTGACAAAAAGGCCAATTTACTTTACAAAATTGTGCGAAATCTCTCATCTTTTTGATAGCAAAAGCCAAAGGGCATCTGCATTGAACTGAATTTTTTGTGGGCAATAATTGAATTATAGTTTTGGTCAAAAAATGCACACAAAAGGATATGGCCCATATGGTAGTTGGTAGAATAAGCTAAACATTTGGACTCGGAAGAATTTGAAATTACTTTCAATCACAAAAAAAATAAAAAAATAAAAAAATAAAAAGAAGAAGAAGAAGAGAAAAACGCGTTTAATTTTGATCAATTATATTGTATAATAATTTTAATAATATGTAACAACCATGATGTATGAACTTAGCTTGTTTATCAATATTTATTCATACAAGTCAGGTTAAAGTTGAATGTGCATTACACATTTTCTAAAATACTTTATAAGTGACGTAAAAGTAATATTTAGTACCAAATTATTAGAGGATTTGATTAGTCTCACACGATTTAAAGAAAATGCACTTTAGCAAAGAAAATTATTATCAAATTGATTTAAATTTTTGTAAGTAGGAAATACTATAAATGAACAATCTTTTTATATTACAATTGATACATAAAAAATTATTATAAATACATAAAATTAAACACCAATTAAAATTTCTATATACATGAATAATTCAAAATTAATCAAGTGAAAATTCATTGAATCTAGGTTAATGGGAATGTTAATTAATTGAGAATTTCTCATAAATGACAATAATTATGTAGTGTTTATTGCATATCGAAGAAGAAAAGTAAGATATTATTGAAATGATCGAATTGTAGGGGATTAAAATAGTCCAAAAAATAATTCTCGCTTCATGTGATATTTTAATATATTATAGATTCACAAGTACAATCCAATTATCAATTCCTCATTTCTATCTATTTATAATTCGGGGGTCCATTTAACAATGCTTTTGCTTCATTTTTTTTTTTTTTAATTTCTTGTTACGAGTTTAATGAGGAAGTTATCTTAATTTGGATTTGAAAATTAATTTCTAAAAGAACTTCATCTTCAGGAAAAACTTCCACAAAAAATTACATTATTTCAGCTTCTCGAAAACTCTTTTAATTAGAAGAAACACTTTATAAAATTAATTAAATGAGTTCAAAAAAAGCTTTTGAATGTTAGATTTCTCAAAAATCAATACCGTTGCATAGGTGGATCTCATTGTGAAAGGCCTATTAGTATATAATTTATTGGTGGAGCCAAAAAGTGTGGTGTAAACTATACAAGTTACCAACATCAAACAAATCCTTAAACCTTATTCAACACTTACAACCACACATTTAGCTATTTGGAGTCAATGTTTTCTTGACAATTTGTTTGAACATTATTTTGTTTGGTTGCAACTAAGAATTAATTAAAACCCATAATTTCAATGTATATGTTCCATCTTTTAGGTCTTTTTTGAAGGTCCATCATTTAAGGAGTTAGACTAGCATCCTTTTTGAACCCCATTTTTTCAAAAATTCATTTTTTCAAATCTCATTTTCAATCATACATTCTTCCATAAAATAATTATACACGTATTTTAAAAAAATTTCTTACTTTTTAACCACACTTTCTTTAAAAAATACCATTTCGTAATACATTCTACCCAAAAATTGGGATCAAACAGGGGCTAGAAGAGAAATCCAATTAGAAATACAAAAAATCCAAAACAATCTAATATATTGTAGGAATATTTTATATACTAATCCTTCTATGTGAGAATAAAACTATAAAGTACCAAACTTTATGGTTGAGTATATAGGAATATGCTGGTTGTATAGTTCTGTGTACAACCTCCTCATAAAGAGAGGGGCCCGCATCCAATGAAAAAATTGTGGACCCCCTCACAAGAGGGGGTTACACAATGAGCTTGACAGCTCGGTGCACGAGTTTATAGGTGTATAGAAACTTAATGCTTGTTTGGTCAAGTTTCGAAGTACTCATAATTAGCAGTTTTTAAGGAACATATAGTTAAAAACTATATAAAAGTTGTAAATATTAATTTTTAAGCAATGTGTAGTTAAAAATAACATTTGATCAATTGATCAGCTTATAAAATTTAAATTTTCTTCGTCGAACATGCTCTAAGAATAATACTTCAAATAAGCAGTTTATAATCATTTTACGAATTGAGCCAAACATTATACTATATAGATTTAGATGTTATGCATAGAGACCTACATATTATTGGAGTATCCTCTTAATGTTATCAAAATCAAACAATATGTTAGTTACTTCAATTGTAACCTCGAAAATTGATCTAAGAGCCCCTTTGATAAGATTTCTGCCTTTGCTTCTGCTTGTCGTAGAAGTTCTTGAAAAAATTACTTTATACCAATTTCCTTTAAAAATCCTTCTAATCTGACAAAATATTTTTAGAAAATTATTTAATCACATTCAAAAACAATTTTTTAACCTCAAAAATAATTTTCGATTTTTGAAAAATCTTTGTCAAACGCACCCTAAATATTAATTTAGAAGCCGAGAAATTAGAACATATTAAAGTCACATAGTTGCGTCCTAATTTGAAACGATAGCAAGCGTCTTCAACCCGCAAACAATCATATCCATAACTAAAATTTTGCTGAGGGGCCAGGAGTATAAAGACTGTTTGAACCCTGGTCAACTTGGGCACATCCCGCGATTTACCTCCCTGATCTGCTGAGGGGCCGGAAGTTCAGGGACAAGGATATAGTCTGACGTAAGCTGGGACACCTCGTTAAAAAAAAAAAAAAAAAATTTTGCTTTTTCTTTCTTTTATTTATTTTTTAAACTAGTAGAAAGTAGTCAGTATACCATTTGGCAAACCTTCCCTAGTCTCCGCCTCCACCAATGGAAATGAAAAATTGGAATGGCCTTCTTCGTTTCTTCCTCCTTCTGTCTCTGGAGTCCCAATTGCCGCCGAGCCTATATATACACGTCCCCTCTAAAACCTAAATGCACATTTCTCTCATCTCATCCTAATCTCTTCCATTCGATCGCAGAAGTTTGTAATTCCGAGAAAAAATGGCTACTTTTACTCTCACCGGATTGCTCAAACAGGTCGCCGGGAGATCCCCCCTCCTGCGTGCTATCTCTGTCTCCGGAAAGTTTGATCTCACCCATGCACGGCTCCATGAACTAGTTGAACGCGCCGCCTTTCGCCTCCTGGCCGCCGGTGTCAAGCCTGGCGACGTAGTGGCCCTCACCTTTCCTAATACCGTTGAGGTAGAGTTTAAACCTCTTTTTGAGTATTAAAATTGTGTTTAGCTTATGAAATAGTATGTTTCTGTTCACACTCTTTTCGTTATGCAAACCGTGTTTCGATTGCGTGTTCTTAGTTTAGTAACGGCTTGATTAAAAAAAAGGCATGATTTGACCGACTAAGCTTAATTTTTTTTTAGTTAATTATAGCTTGGCTTACGAGTTTCTTAGTTTATTAACGGTCTGATTAAAAGCATGATTTTAACAATTAGCGGTTGGTTTTTTTATTCAATTACAGTTTGTAATTATGTTTCTGGCCGTGATTCGTGTCCGAGCCACCGCGGCGCCACTTAACGCTGCCTACACTTTAGATGAATTTGAGTTCTACTTGTCAGACTCAGAATCGAAGCTTTTATTGACTTCAAAGGAAGGCAATGAACCTGCACAATCCGCAGCTGCAAAACTGAACATTCCTCATGCCAAAGCTACGCTTGCAGATGCCGACTCGGAAGTTACTCTGTCATTATCTCAGTTTGAGTCTGCTCCTGATTCACTTTCTGAACTCCTAAACAACCCTTCTGATGTGGCACTTTTTCTCCACACATCTGGCACGACAAGCCGCCCCAAAGGTGTTCCTTTAACTCAGGAAAATCTGTATTCATCCGTGCAAAATATCAAATCGGTTTATAAACTTTCTGAGTCAGACTCTACGGTCATCGTTTTGCCATTGTTTCACGTGCATGGGTTACTGGCTGGGTTGTTGAGTTCGCTTGGAGCTGGAGCTTCCGTGGTTCTCCCTGCTGCTGGCAGATTCTCAGCTTCCACATTTTGGTCAGACATGAACAAGTATAATGCTACGTGGTACACAGCTGTGCCCACCATACACCAAATCATACTTGATCGACATCTCAGCAGCCCCGAACCTAGTTACCCCAAACTACGATTCATTAGGAGCTGCAGCGCCTCGTTGGCTCCTTCCATCTTGGCTAGGCTTGAAGAGGCCTTTGTTGCGCCAGTTCTAGAGGCATATGCGATGACAGAGGCAACACACTTGATGGCCTCCAACCCATTGCCTGAGGAAGGACCACATAAGGCTGGTTCAGTTGGGAAACCCATAGGTCAAGAGATGGCGATATTAGATGAGCATGGGGTGGAACAGGGGGCTAATGCCACTGGTGAGGTTTGTATTCGCGGTCCAAATGTAACTAAAGGGTACAAGAACAACCTGGAAGCTGATAAATCAGCTTTCCAATTTGGGTGGTTCCATACAGGAGACCTTGGGTTCTTTGACTCGGATGGCTATTTGCATCTTGTTGGCCGAATCAAGGAGTTGATCAATCGTGGAGGTATTGTTTTACATAATGGGTTTATCTATGTATATTGCATGACACTGACTCAATACATCCATGTATTTTACACAATGGTCCAGTGTGTAGAAAGTTTAAGATCTGCCTTTATAATTTGATCATATGACTTTTGTTAAAAATATTATTCATATCCCATAAATATTAGGTTTCATTCACAATCCAAGCAAAGTGGCCTTTTTGCTTGATGATGTTTGCATCTGATCCATGCTGTATGTTCTCAAATTATGTAGCTTGAATTTTATTTACTGAGAACATATTATCATTAAAAATGAAGTTTGGTGTTGCCAGAGTATTGGATGAAGTTTAGTGCATATGATCATATGTCTTTTCAATTTTTATGTCTTGCATTTTGCATGATTTTTCCTAAAGCAAATAACTAGAGTTGTTGCCATTAGTAGTATGGATTAAAGGCATTTGATAAGATGAGTGCCAGCCGGTTTTGGTGCATATGAAATAGGGGTAGCTTTATTATAGCTTTTGGTCGTCGCAATTTCATGAAATGCTTTATAATCTTGGGTCTTACAGTTATCATTCTTAGGCTTATGATCTTGATGGATTTCCGCTATAGCTCCATGGTACCAGTGCGACCCATTGTCTTAGAAATGCCTCATCGTCATGCCTGAACATTTTACATCATTGTCCTAGGAGCATCATTTTTGTCCTTTATGACTACATTGATAGCAAACTAATTGGCGAAAGTTCAGCCTGAAGCTTTCAGGATTTTTTCTAGGCCCATTTCATCATTGTTTTCTGAAAGAACGAAGAAGGTTTTGATTGTAGCCTTGAGAAATATTTGCTTATAAACGTTTAGCTCTTGGAATTGAATAAACTTTGTTCTCTCTTAGTCATTTAAAACCAGCTGATGAGGATAAAATGACTTTGTCCATTGAGAAAATAACCTCTTCTCAGTCAAGTATAGTGGTCATACTAATCAAAATTCATTCAACAGTGCAATTTTGCTTTGATAATATGAATTATATATACACAAATCATAAAATAGTCACGGTGATGTCTCTTCACAATTGCAGGGGAAAAGATATCACCGATTGAAGTGGATGCTGTCCTTTTATCTCTTCCTGACATTGCTCAAGCTGTTGCATTCGGAGTACCTGATGACAAATATGGGGAAGAGGTAAGCAGCCATTAAAGTCGCAATCTCTCTTTGTTTCATCACCCATTCATGATCTTATGTCTACCTGTCTAATTATGATAAGAAAACAAGAATGTGTGGTCCTCTCATGTTAAGTGCGTCTCCTTGTCTGATTATCAGTTTATACACATGAGATGTGACTCACAATCCACCAATTAAACAAAATTAAAGTGCAGTGAAAAGGATGATTTCCAAGTAGTTTAGTGTTCTCTGATTTGACATTCCTCGTTAAGCATTGAATATTCCACACAATATACCACTCAAATGCAATAAGGAAGAGGAAAGAAAAAAAATATACAAATAAGATGAGTCTCAAGCCTTTTAAGTCTGTCAAATATGTGGTTGGCCAGAGGATATGCTTTGACAGATGTCACAGATCAAGATTTTTCAATATTGTTTAAGAGAAAAATAAAATCTTCAGCTAGAAACTTCTCGTGTGTATTGAAATAGGTGTAGTGAAGACAAGAACAGTATGTGTAATTAAATAGCTTTCTGCAGCTTGCTATTTCTACCATATTCATAATTTGACTCGTTTTGGAGAATTTGTGATGGCCAAGTATATTTTCTTTTGCTACGGTCCATTAGATAATCTGGCACAGGAAACATTTTCCATATTCGTAATTGAAAATGAAAATAAGAAACAATTATTTCTGGAGTTAATCATTATGTCACTGGCCCTTATAAAAGACCGCTAATCCAGGATCCATAATGCCTTCTCGTCAATCTTTCTGTTGCTACAATAGTAGTATTGCACCAACCTTTTCTACATTCTGCAACTTTATATCTATTTGTCGTGAAATATTTATCTATATTGGAATAGAGATCGTATTTTGACTACATAAAGTATACATGTTTGACACTCCAGTTGGCTAAATGGTTTAGCTCTCCATATTCTCTTAGGCAGCTGCTACTTTGGCACTTAAGACACAGTATTATGTCCAACACAAGCAATATCTTTCTTACTGGTGGTGTAATATTCTCATAAGATCTTTATCTCTGCGTATTCAGATAAATTGTGCAGTTATACCCCGTGAAGGATCAAACCTTGACGGGTCTGAGGTATCTAGATTTTGCAAGAAAAATCTTGCGGCATTCAAGGTGCCAAAGAAGGTTTTCATTACCGATTCTCTCCCAAAAACTGCTACAGGGAAAATCCAGCGACGAATTGTAGCAGAACACTTCCTTGCTCAGATATCTACTGCTAAAGTCCCGAAGTTGGGAGCCTAAACAAGTGCTGAGCCAAGGGGAAAATAAGATCACTAGTCAACTGTCTTTGTTACTGGATTTCAAATATTCATTTTACAATTGTTGAACAAGCCAATTTCTCCATCTGATAAAATTATGTAGATAAGTTTTTAGGGTTCTTGATATAATAATATATTATTCTTGTAACCAAGTAGGGCTGATGAATGCATTCATTAATTTTATTTATATCTAATGGTAACAAGTAATGTTATTTAGGATCACTGTTGTTAAACATCAGTTTAGGTGATAACTGCACGACACTAAATGATAGATTCATTTAATTGAATCTATCAAATGTGGTCACATAAATTGGTACTTTAAGTTCGTTGGTGCTAAATAGCAGTATGCAATGATAACAGAATATGTATTTACACATGTAGAGGGGGTTGAGAGATGGCATACACTATATGGATTAATACAACACTTGTTTTCCTTCAAAACATTTATTATATTTTGGGCAAGATTCATAAAGGAAATTTTATTTTTCTTTAAGTAGAGGGGTGGATTGAAGATAAAATATAGGCCTTCGTAAGAAAATTTGAAAGAAGGTTAGGTTTTATATTTTTAAGAAATTTTCTCTTATATTTTAATTTGTTTTTCATAGAAGTTTTGTCAATTTTCGAGTAAGGTCAATTATGTCTAGAGTTGGAGCTGTGGAGCATGAGGGGCCCCAGTCGTCCAAGAAGGCAGAGGGGGTCCGTAATTTGACCAAAAAATGTAAAACTAAAAAGAAAGACTTATTTTGAAGGTCGGGATTTAGAATAGGATAACCTTCTTTTGTGATGTTTTTCCCTTTAGGCTTCTTCGTACTTTAAATTGACAAACATATATTTACTATTACAGAAGTGAGATGGCTCATTCACCAAGTTGGGCAGGTTGAGAGAGTTGACATGAAATTTAATTGAAGATTAAGGATAAATCACAGTTTGGTTGTGCATAATATCGAGAAGGATATATTCGGAGATACTTGTAAACCTCGTTCACAAAGTATGAAAATGTGTAGAGAACGATTATAATAATAAAGGAAAAATATTATTATTGTTATGTTGCTTTAAAATATTTTTGTTACTTAAGTTACAATCCTTGAAAACTCTGACTTTACCACTTATCGAGATTATATGAGTATGTTTTTAACAATTATAATTTTTTAACTTTTAAGTGAAATGTCTATTTTATAAATAAACACTTAAATCAAGGTTATTTTCATTCTAACAATTGGCCCGTTTATTGGATTTACAAGTAATATTATTTTATTCAAGAATGTATAGTTAAAAAAAAGTGAGAGAAAAATGTATTTTTGATATAGCCCCCGTCTGGCTCCCATTAAATTATATTACAATAAATTTCATCTTTCTCTCTTCTATTTTTAATCACACAATCTTCCATAAAATAATATTTACAGGTAAATCGAAAACTTTTTCTTCTTTATCAACAACTCATTTTTCAAAAAAAATATTATTTCACCCATTTTTATTTTCCGAAAATGGGGGTCAAACGGGTGCATAATAAGGATCAAACAAGGGACGACTTTGGCCACGTCTAGTCGTAGCAGAGATAACAGAGTAAAATCCAAGAATAAACAGGGACACAAAGTTGTTAATTTTGTTGGTTGATTTTTTTGACATATTTAGATGACAGTTCTGGAGTTGTTGTAATTTGTAGATGATGTCATATTTATTGAAATATATCTTATGGTTTATTTTCGTGATATATTGCATACTTGTTAGAAATCTTAAAGGTTCGGGTCTAATGATATTACTCTACACATAAGATTAGACGGGATGTCCAGGGATGGAGCCAGACGATTGATATTGTGGGATCAAAAATTGAAATACAATTTTTTGAAAACAACATATCATTAATAAAGATAAGTCAATACACTACGAGTCACGATCATAGAACTTCGAAACACATTTTTAATATCAAGGATTCAAGATAACTGAGTCACAAACTAGAGTCTAGAGATTAGAGATTAAGGGACAATCGGACAAGGGCACATATTAACACATATAATATATTTTTCAAATCTCAACAAGTAGAATTGCACTTGAATATCTCAAATTTAAAAATTAAAAGCAACTAATTAGAGGCCCAAATTAACAAGAAAAACTAAAACCACATCCAAATCCAATTAAAACGTGTTTGCTATGGAGCTACCTAGATGAAAGAAAAATAAATGTCAAACAAGTGGACGGTAAATTTGTTACCCAGATGGAAGAAAAATCACAAAATTAGCACAAAAGAAAATCCCAAAATATGAATTGCAAATTGGCGATATCGAACCCTTTTTGTGTCGGCCGATTCTTCTTTTTCTTCTCTCTGATTGTGGGGAATTTACATTTTAGGGCAATGGACGATTCAAGACAAATGTATATGAAATGATGAAAAGCATAGTTTTGATAATGGGCTTGTGCAATTGGACAAAGTATGGGTTAATTTACATATTTATAAAAAAAAAAAAGAAATAAAAAGGGAGGTTTGGCAACAAATTTAAATAATTTACGGATTTAAAAAAAATAAAAATTTGTGGGGTCTATTGACCACACGTGACCCTATGTGGGTCCATACAAGCCTCCAAGACCATAGCCCCATGCACGGGCCATATCAGGGGTTGCCTCGGTGAACTTGTATTTTGAAAAAAGTCGAAATTACGTAAGAAAATGAAAGTACATAGGGTTATGGCTTGTTGGACCCAAACAATAATTTTATTCTATGCGAATAATGGGGTACTTTTTAGAAAGGCTGAAAAATTCTTCCTATTTTCCACAATGGCCTCTTTTGTTAAAAATACTATTTTGCCCTTACTAAAGTTATTTGCAAGATGTGTCTTATATCTTTAAGGATTTTTCAATCAGGACCTATATCTATATTTTTCAGTCTTTCGAACACCTTTAAATATTCCTTATATTTTAGTAGTTCTTCAAAGATTATAGGTTGTCCTTTCTTGGTTATATATCCTTTAAATAATCCTTCTGAAATCTCTTCTTGTATATTTCTATGTTTAGTTATAATATCATCTACCTTTCTTATTTCTCTACTAGTTCCTACAGAATTAAATCTTATATTATTTCTATAATTATAATCTATGTCTCTATATATTTTTTCAATTTTTTCTTTACCAACAGGGAATATATCATCAGATTTTTCATCTAATTTAAGTAAAAACGAAACATCTTTTTCATCTAAGAATAATATGAGATTATTATCATTAGTGGATGTGGATGCTTGTGAATCGTTCATCAGAATAATTAAAACATAAGCATGTAAAAATAAGTAAATGACTTACAGTAATCAAGTAGAAATAAACAGGCTTTCCCTCCAGTATGTTCTTATAGATGCTTTGCATGTACTTAATCAATCTTCTGAATCAAGTAAAGATTTAAAATGTTTTTGAAATCATTTGGGTCCACAACTGCTTCCACAAAAGGCTTTTCAATTAAGGTTGCATTTCTCACTCTAGAGAACTAGCCGTGTTACCACAGATGCTATCTCACAGTATCCAGAGTCTCTGTTTTCACCTCTATCCAAACTCTTTTCAGAATCAAGTTCCTACTTGGAACGAAATTTTAAAAGATAACTTACACACAAATGCTACAATTTTGTTAGAAAACTGCCTTTTTCCCCTAAACCATTCATCAAAAATGTGTACTTTGGCATGGCTAACATCCATTCAAAATCAAGGTTTTGAAAATCTTTTAAAATCTCTGCTTGTACTGCCGAGGAATCATGAGAAACTTAACGAAATCCTTTTATGAAAGCTTTGTTGAACATAACAAACTTTACTTTGATATTCATAAACCGAAATTGTACATGATTACAAACTATATTTACATGCCTTTGGTACTCACCTTATGAAGTTTAGAACTCCATAAGCGATTACCTTCTTACACGCTTTACTATCTTCAAGCTATTTAATATTTTTCTGAATACAAGTGGTGTATACAGATTACAAAAGATCTATCTAAGATGTATTTTCTCTGAGTGTTTTAGAGATGAGCTATTTCGAGATATCTTCCTTCTTCCTTCTTGCCTCCTTTTATAGAAGCCTTTGGGAACCTTATCTTGACAGATGTTTTCCACCTTTCTTTGTTGGGTAGTTAGGCCATCTTATCTCCACCGAATTTTTCTATTATCTTCTTGCTAGTGGACCTCTTCTTTTGAAATTAGATGCCTTATTTTTTTGAGTTTGTCTGCCACTTGTAACAATTGGTGGGGAGTAGTTACAATTATGGAGACTTTTCTTGCACTATCTTCTGTCTTTTAGTAGCCACAGTTTTTCTTTAATAAATTTTTTTTTAAAGTAGTGATAAAGGGCTACTTTTATCACCATCACTTTTCCATTTTCGAATCAAAGAATTCTGCAGGGAATTCTTCACTATTAAGAGATGCTTTGCTCATATCTTCAACTATACAGTATTCACAATGGTGATCACTGTAATTCCAAAGTAATTTGCATAATTCTTTAACCATATCTTCTGATCCATACACTTGGTTGGAAATAATTGCAGATAATAAATGGTCGAGATAACAAATATCTTCTTCTTTGGTAGCCATCCTTGCATTGGAATAGATAATTTGATCTTCAGATGGATAAACCCATATTTTTTCTTTCTCAGTGATTATCTGAGTTATATGTTCAAATATCTCTTTGTACCCTTTTGCTCTTTTGTTGGGCATCATATTTAAAATATCTTGATATCCATTTTTAACAACCTTTTGATTAGTTGGTAAAAAATGTTGATTTGTAAGTCCCATTTTTATCACATGGAACGATGGATGCATATATTCAAAAACAGGATCCCGTTCCATGGTTACTGAATGGAATCTGATATATATATTTGTTGTCTTGACGACTTCAGTGTATCTTTTAACAGCTTTCCTAATGTTGGCTGGAAGCTGAGCTATCTCTTTGAGATCTTTGCTAGGATATATACAAAGTATATTTCCTATTTCAAAACAATTTCGAACCCAGTTGGCTGGTGCCCCTGGATAAAAATTTATCTTGTTGTATTTTGAATAGTGGAGAGTCTTCATCCACTTTCCAATCTCCAGATACCAATCTGATAAAATGTTAAAAATAACAATAAAGAGTATTACTTCTTCATGATTATCTTTTCTGGGAATTTTTGCTTCATGGCATATCTTGACGATATCTTTTGGATCTATCATTTCAATAGAAAGTTTAGATTGAGTTTGGCTCTGTGAAGAGCTACCT